GACCGCCTTTGAACCGGCCTTTTCGCCGTCCGCTTTTGGCAACCTCATAATTTGAGGGAGTAACTACAGTGCACAGTCTGTTCATCACTGAGTAGATAGGATTCAGGTTTCGTCTGAAATTGGGTCTGATACCGAGCATATATGAAGGAAGAGGTTCCACATGTACTCCTTACTATCATGAATTATGAGCTGTCTAATAGCAAGAGAATCAGAATAGTGAAGTAATTTACATCCAAGTATGCCTTCAGTGCCACCCATTGACAACTGCCTCTGTCCCAGCAACAAGCTCATCTAGCTCTTCCTTTCTAATCCTGTACGTTTCTTGAGCTTCACGCTCTCTCTTCAGAACGAACGCAACATCGTCGCGGAGCTTCTGGAGCCTCCGCGAAATAGCTGATTCCTCTGAAATTTGTAGGGTTTGGAAAGCGTTCAACTCATCCTTCGAATTTTCCAGAGCAGAACTGGCCTCGACAATCTTGGTTCGAAGTATCTTTGCGCGGTTCTGATAGCCACCGTAGTGTAGCGCGAGCTTCTTCTCAAGCTTGTTCCCTCGCTCTGCGGTAGCTAGCAGGGAAGCCTGCACATTGTCAAAGGCGTCAATCATTCGCTGCTCTTGTCGGTACACATCCTCCTCTTCATCATTATCGGCGTAGTTGGCGAGACCCGGGAGGGTATTGGAACGCGCCGACGACCAACGATCATCGAAATCTTGCAGCCATTCCTGTTGCCGATCAGACGAAGCAACTTCCGCTACGATGGCTGCACGCGCTGCTTCGATGAGCTCGTCATCAAGTCGCTCCAGTTTCTGTGTCTTGCCTTCAACCTTGCCATTGGGAAGACGGAATCTTTGAGCGTCATTAGCAATCAACAGAGCTGCTTCCCTAGCGATCATGCCATTGATGGGATCGGTGACATGTGAGGCACGCGCCATCAAAGCATCTATATCGAGAACGCTCGGGCGTGGCAGTCCCCGCTGATAAACTTGGGTCTGGCGTTTCAACTCAGCCTGGGCAGCCCTCTCCCGTGCCTCCTTCTCTCTCCGATCACGCTCCGCAGCATCCTCTTCAGAGATCTCCGCCGCAGCAGTTGGCTCTGCAGTCTCCGAGGGAAGTTCCTCGAGTTCCCATTCGGTTTCCTTGGGCTTCGGGAGCGACGCCAACTTGCCACGAATGCCTTGACTAACAGCTTTTTGGTGCAATCTGATATCTCTCGGTGTGCTGCCAATCAACTGTCCGCCTTCCATCTGATTGAGCGCAAACTGATCTCTAGGAGTTTTGAGTGGGGTTGCTCCTGGCCCGATGCCACCATGCAATGGAGTCGCCCCCAAACCATTGGCTTGTCGGAAAGGAGTCGCCATCGGATTCGGGGTAACGATTTGTTGTCGTCGAGGAGCGATGCCATCAAAACCTGTAGAAGACCCTCCTTCGTGTAGAGGCGTATTCTCACCACCCAGCAAAGACGATTGCGTTTCAGTCAGGGCTCTGATATTTCGGATCTCGTTGGCGATATGATCCTCCTCTGGCGGAGCGCGTGGTGTCCTAATTGGCGTCCCTCCGACGATAGAAGTGTAGTTACCAATCAAACCTCGAGTTGTTTCTTCGTCGCCGGACATCTTACTGGCCCTGTCTCCCGCCATGCCCATTTTGATAATGTCCTCCATTTCGCTTTCGCTCACTTGAGGAGTTGGCAGGACAAGCGCTCGTCTCTTACTGCTCTGCTCAGCCTCGCGAATCTTCTGCATTTGGCCGGCCCTTGCGGCAGCAGCGAAAGCGGAGCTACCATTCTTGTCGCTCTTTCTCTTCTTCCTGTCCGCATCTTCTTCCTGATCTCCTTTTCGCTTGTTCGCAAGTTGTTGTTTTCGCGGATCGAACATTTCTCGCTGTCTTTCGTTTCGAGCTTCCTCTTCTATGGTATCGTAAAATCCAGGCGCTGCTGGCTTCTCAAATGGGATGTCCGCGTTATAGTCCATTTCACCCTTCTTGCGGGTAACAACCTTGATATTGATGCCAGCATTCTTGAGTTCACGACGTTTCTGCAGGACAGCGAGTCTTCGCGACTCTTCGAGTTGCCGCTCTCTAGCCTTGCGCTTCGCCTTCTTTCCTTGGGTGTTCGCCAAACGAGCCCGAGCTTCACTCAGCATTTCCTTCTCGTCTTCGTCAAGATCAATCGTGTCGGGACGAGCAGGCTTCGATTCCGGATCGGGATCTAATTCACCGGGCCTTCAAAAATATCAGCAAAGCGAACAGCTTCTCAAATAGTGTGACCTCATACCGTAACCGTCTCACATCGTCCGCACTAGGCGCAGCCGCCTCGCCGCCAGAGGGACCTCCCAAGCCAAGCTCATCGTTTTCGCGAGCTTCGGCTTCATCTAGCAGTTTCTGATAGCGTTCAAGACATTGTGTTGCTGTCCTTCCGACAATAGGGGCAATTGTACGCCATTGTGTTGGCATCAACTTTGCCAGATGCAGCAGCTTCTCGTCTTCTTCCCTCGACCATTCGACCTTGCGAATGCCAGGGTCCAACCACTCTACCCATCGTGCTTTGCATTGTTTAGGTGTCTTTCTCGCGAGAAGCGAAGAGACTCGCGCCCATTGGTTCAGGCCATACTTGGATACCTAGACGAAAGAAGGACGTGTCAGCTCAAGAACTCAATCGGTTGTCCTCCAAGTGAAGCAGAACGCAAGACATACAGCCGCCCGGAGAACCTCATCCTCAATATTGGTCCTAATTACCCGTTAGCTATTCCGAAGTCTTCAGAATCGAAAGCGCAGATAGACTTACCAGACTCCTCCTTTGACAACGGGCATGGCGAATGTGGTCGCTCAGCGCGAACAATTTCAACCAAAAAATTTGGGTATGGAGAAACAAGTTGGATAATCTTCAGATAACGCTGATGCAGTAGCTGAAACTGCACTGGCCAGGGTCGATAGAGAATCGACGCGGGTCAGAAGGCGAGATTCAAACAGGAAGGTCTTTAACTTGAGCGGCCACACCATACGACAGTGGCTAGCCGCGAAGAACATGAGCGCGGCAGCCGCCCTAGCGTCGCGCGATACCACATTAGGTAAGCGGGTCCAGATTTTTGGAATTTCTTCAGATCGTTATCGCGACAAAAAAAGACACAAATCTACAATTTGACAATTTGAACCTGATTGAAAAGGTCTTCATAATGTCGGCCTCGGCTGAAGCTCCAAGTCAATTCAAGCAACCTTCCCGTAAGGGTAAGAAGGCGTGGAGAAAAAATGTGGACGTTACGGAAGTCCAGGAAGGTCTTCGCCTTTTGAAAGATGAAGAAATTAAAGGGTATGTGACCTTGAATGGGCTCTTATCTAGTAAGCCTTCTCTAATGATATATGCTAACATTACTTCTTCTGTACAGTGGTGTTCTAGCAGAAAAGCCTTCAGAAGAATTATTCGTCATCGATAAGAAGGGCTCCGCCGAGATTAGAAATGAATACTTCAAACAGCACAAGCCTCTGAAGGCCGATGAGATCCTGGCCCAACGTTCTGCGATTCCTGCAGTGGATACCCGCAAACGTTTGAACTCGAAAGTCACAGACGGTGTTATTGAACCGAAATCCAAGAGGCACAAGAGCGACTGGGTCAGCCGCAAGGAATGGCTGCGCTTGAAGCAGGTGGCCAAGGAAGCGAACCCGACTCAGAAGGCGGACGAAAGCGAGCCGTACGACCCCTGGGCAGATGCTGAAGATCCGACACCTGTTGAAGACCCTCAGTTTGACTACCTCGAAAAGCCCAAGCCCAAAGTTGCACCTCCGACGCTCAAGAAACCTCCAATCTCACTTGCTGCGAATGGAAAGCCAATCCCGTCTGTTCGTACACCAGATGCTGGCATCAGTTACAATCCGACATTTGAGGATTGGGATCGTCTTCTACAAGAGAAGGGACAAGAAGCCGTAGAGGCTGAGAAGAAGCGCTTGGAAGAAGAGCGGAAGGAGCAAGAGAGGCAGCGCCTTATTGCCGAAGCGCAAGACGATGACGGCGAAGTCAAATCTGATGATGAGAGTGCCTGGGAGGGATTTGAAAGCGAATACGAGAAACCAGAGTGGCTGAACAAGAAGCGTCCAGCACGGAAGACGAAGGCAGAGAGGAATAAGATCAAGAGGCGCAAGGAGGCCGAGAGAAAAGCTAGATGGGAAGCCAAGATGAAACAGAAGGAAGAGCAACTTGAGCAAGCGAAGGCTATCGCGGAACAGGCGCAGGAGAGCCGACTTGGGCGCAGCCAGGAGTCTGAAGATGATTCTTCCGAAGAGGGAGATGATGCCGCCTTGCGGCGTAGGCCATTGGGCAAAACCCGGTATGTTTTTCTTAATCTTGTTTTTCCGATCTTACACGTACTGACTTGGTGACAGTGTGCCCGAGAAACCGTTGGAGGTTGTACTCCCAGACGAACTTCAAGACTCATTACGTCTACTGAAGCCGGAAGGAAATCTGCTAGATGACCGCTTCCGCACATTAATAGTGCAGGGAAAGCTGGAATCTCGCAAACCAGTGACACAGGCCAAGAAGGCGAAGAGGAAGCTGACGGAGAAGTGGACATACAAGGATTTCAAGGTCCCGGGATTGTAGATACGCTAATTAGATTTCCTTTTTTTCGCACATTTACAAAAGCGTGTTGCTATGAACTGGCTTCGGGATATAGAATATCATTTCCACATTCTCAATCTCGCGAATCGACCTCAGTCACTAAAGATACAAATTTGCTGTACCCTCAATGCTAAGGTAGATCTGGTATCGGCTCCATAAGCCATAGATAGACACGGAGCGCATTATAGAGAGGTACACCGTACGGAGTACAGTGTTCGAGAATTGAGACTATGGATGCCTGAGTGGGGCCTGAGGTTGTCCAAATTTTTAGCGCAGCTATCTAATCGCCGATTTTTTGGAGAAAAGATATGGAATGTACGACCATTCCCTTCTCAACACCACCTTCTTTTTCACTCGGACTATCATGATGCTTTAGTATCGCACATATCTTTGGCATGGACGTCAATAATCTTTCCAGTAATTGGAAGAAACTTCAGGAGACGCTGAAAAAAGAAAGTGCTTCCTCCGCCTCTAAGAAACGCAAGACATCGGACCGCGAGACTCAAAATGTTGCAACCAAGAAGCAGAAAACAGAAACAATAGAGCACAAGAAGAAATCAATAAAGAAGAGAAGAATGTCCGAGGGGCACGAGCATGGAGGGGACAGGAGCGCACAAGTTTCTGAGGTGAAAACTATTTCCCGCAAAAGCTCTACAGCTACGATCTCCGAGCACACACGGACAGCGTCCAGGACAGCAAAAGTTAATGAGGGCCGTTCACCTACGTTAGTAATTTCTATCATCTATATACTATCTGCGTCATCTAACCTCTCTTCTACAGTGCAGAAATAGGTAAATATGTCGCTATGGACTGCGAAATGGTGGGAGTTGGTCCCAACCCCGATAATGATTCTGCCCTCGCGCGTGTCAGTATCGTCAACTTCAACGGCGAACAAGTATATGATTCATACGTCAGGCCCAAAGAGATGGTTACAGATTGGCGGACGCATGTGAGCGGCATTGCTCCCAAGCACATGGTGGAGGCTCGATCCCTTGAACAAGTCCAGAAGGAGGTTGCAGAGATTCTTGACGGGCGAATACTCGTGGGACATGCTGTGAGCAACGACTTAGATGCTCTTCTTCTCGGCCATCCCAAGCGCGACATCAGAGACACAAGCAAGCATCCTCCTTACCGAAAGATTGCGGGTGGTGGTTCTCCGCGCCTGAAAATGCTGGCGTCGGAGTTTCTAGGCCTGCATATCCAGGACGGGGCGCACTCTAGTGTCGAGGATGCTAAGGCTACGATGCTTCTGTATAGACGAGATAAAGAGGCATTCGAGCGGGAGCATTTGAAGAAGTGGCCAATTCGCGTCGTCGTCGACAAGAAAGAAAATGGCGAGGACCAGAAGAAGAAAAAGAAGAAGAAGAAGAAGGCCCGTAAGAGGTGATGGGACCTCATAGCAGCAGTTGGAGACCTTATATACCCCTAGACTCTTGTCTCTTGTGTACATATCGCATCATCCCATTATTTTGAAGGACCAGCTTCGCATAATTAGATAACCCAGGGAACAATTTCGACCCTTTCTGATTGTAATTCAGCGTATACTACTGTTATTCTCATTTGTATCTTTGGTTCAGCATCGTTACCTATTGCCGCTGTGTCTATACTCACTACGGAGTACTATCTGCAGCGATTTGACCGTTGCGGGATGGCGCATTTCCTATTCCACTTAACGCGGGCAACGCATCGCGTCAGCTTGTTCCGAAGAACAACCACACTACTGCTACATCAAAATAACCCTTCTAAAACTTAAAAGTACAGGCATTGAACAAGCGCTAACTAAATTTTATCTTCTGTTCTGATTGCACTTGCAACCTTCCAGGAGTACTCGACAAGACTTCCCCATCAGCTGCTCATCTAGAAATGTTCGCCATCCAAGCATCTCAGAAGCCGTCATCTGCAGCCGACAGCGAGAAGTCGATGGAGAATTGCACCCCTCACGTTCTCCCCTGTAGAATCCACCATGATGGGTTCGTTGAAACGCTAGAGCGTTACTGGAACCCCGTGTCGGATGAGAAAGGTAAGCATTTGTTAGGCACACGGAGTCAACTTTCCCTGGGTCTTTGTCTGTCTGCTAACATTCACGTAGATGAGAGCCTACAGACTGCTTACTTTCGAGGACGCAAGCTTCGAGGCCGACGTGTTGCAATTCCAGAAGGCTACCAAGGTACGAGTTGCCTCACCTGACTATCGGTAGTACGATGTTTTAACTTGGCCCGACAGGAATGGTCGTTAAGCCTACTGAGCGTGTTCTGCCATCTAAGAGAACGGACACTGGATATGAGGACGAGAATATTCAACTCGAGCAAGAAGAGCCGATAAAGGTTTTAGAAAAGCAGGCTACTTTTGACGAATTCATGGTCTGGGGCCATGAAGAGGTGCCGGCGGCAGATGATGCTTTTGTCAAGGGAGTCGAAGAATGGTTGAAGATGGCTGAAGCAGTATGCGGAGACAACCGTTGCTTAGACTCGTGGCTAACGTTCAATCTAGTTGCATACCCAACCCAGCGACGCAAAGACAAATTCCATTTGAATTCTTGGTGCTATTTGAGCTGAACCAATGGCTCATCAAAACACTCACCCGAGCCTGGGATGCAGGCCAAATTGTCTGAGCGATCCGTTCTAGAGACGCTGGCCACGCAAATGCGACGAGCTATCTAAGCAATATCGTTCGAAGTAACACCCAACTGCTAGTTCGAGTCCTTTTCAACTCGGGTTAGCGGATGGGTGCCAGACTCTGACTACCGAGTCATGCGAAGTGTCGCCCTATGAAAACAGCCGCTCTCTTTGCGTTGACTTCTGACTCAATTCCTATGGAAGCAGTGAACTGAAAATTGCAACCCGGCAACGAGATTACACCGCTGCAACGAGGCTGTCCAGGCTATGTCACACTAGAAAAGTGATATCGACTGCAGAAAGTTCGGTATCTGCTAGAGATACAGACATCAAGCCTCTTCATTTTGAGCCTAATGCTTTTTCTACAGCATTTTTTTGTATAGAAAATTTACGATTCATCCTGCAGATGTTACCTGTCTTCGTATTGATAAGCTCTTGACCGCCTGATAAGTGTAGATTCTGCCCGAACGTTTTGGGGTAAAGATAACATTGAAATTCCCAACTGCTGCCATCATTGTTTATCCAATTGCCTCCTTTCAAGTCACAATGCAGATCCTCAGCAGTGGGGAGAAGATTGCTCCCGAGGCTTTGATTCCCAAGTTTGAAGTCGACAGACTTCTCAAGCAAGGTGAAATTCATCTCCGCTCAAGATTTAGATTCACAAAGCAGCATCCCTGATACGCTTCGCACCGCATACTGAATTGACCGCATGTAACTGACCTATGGAATCTATAGATCAAAATGGCCGCCGTATCGCCATACTCGGATCCATTGACGGCAAGCAAGGCATCTTGATCGCAGAACGAGCAGCATTCGCAACCGAATCCCTCGAAGTCTTAAAGGCATTCCACGCTGCAATCAGCAGAGTAAACAATCTCGGCGACAATGACATATACCGGTGGTACTTGGCGTCCTCAGGCGCAGGCGAGGATGAACAGCAGTTTCCCGACCTCAAACTAAATCTCATCTGGCCTTGCACGGAAAAGCACATCAAAAAATACACGGATCAGGTACTACGCATGGTGACCGAGACGCCGGAGATCTACAGTGACTATGTGCGGCCGTATATGAGCGCTCAACGGGAGGAAGGTAGACTGAACTGGGTCTTTAACATCCTTGAAGGTCGGACGGAGCAGGAGGACGTGATTCTCCGGGATGCGGGTGAGGGTCCCGATGATGGGTTCCTGATGCTCCCTGACCTCAACTGGGACAGAAAAACGACGAGCTCTCTGCATCTGCTCGCTCTTGTGCAGCGACGAGACATTTGGAGTTTGCGTGATCTCAAGAAGAAGCATATCCCCTGGTTACGGTATCTGAGGCAGAGGCTGCTTGAGGGAACAGTGAAGATGTATCCAGAATTGGAGCAGGACCAGCTCAAGCTATACGTGCATTGTAAGTATTATTTATTAGGGCTGCCCTGGTTTTGCCCGGGCCGATGGAATGTCTACTAATTGCGATGCTAGACCAACCGACCTACTACCACTTCCATATCCACGTGGTCAACGTCATGCTCGAGGCGGGTGCGACACAAGCCACAGGGAAAGCCTTCGGGCTGGAAAATCTCATTTCTCAACTGGAGACTCTGTCTGGGGACCAAGATGCAAGCATGGCGGATGTCAGTTTGACATACTACCTCGGGGAGGCCAGCGAGCTGTGGACGAACGTCTTCCATCCATTGAAGAAGGGATTGAAGCCAGCAATTGGAAACTGAGAGTTCCGATGGGTCATGACTGATGATATTAGAATTATGCTAGAATTTGTCGAACGTTCATGATATCAAGGAGAAATGACCATGATACTAGATAGTGTTCTGAGCAAATTCATTTACGACTGAACTGTCTAGCAGCTTGATGCTCCGCAAAAGCTGTATTCATTAGATTCCTGGAAATTGCGGGTAGCTCTGGATTTTTCTAGATAAGTTCAAACGGTAGAAACGTGAGCTGGTATGTATTTATTTCCTTAAGCGGAAGATCTTCAACCCCGCAAACCGACGTCAATCACCCCTCACCGCGCAACAATCAATTCGATCGTTTTACAAACACTCAACAATCCTCCAAATAATCCTATCCTGACAAACCTCGAGCCTCAATTGCCCTGTAATCTACAACGCTTTCAATCAGTGTTCAAGACAGCTCAACCTCCTTGACCCCATCATGGCAGACCATGCGGATGCCCCCAGCACAAACAAGGCCTTTGTGCCTCTTGGTACGTACTATATCCCCAAGCTTATCAATGATTCAGAGGATAAGTGTTTATACCTTCATAGAAAATAACCCAGAAGTCATGTCCCACCTTATCCACCAACTGGGCCTCCCATCCACCCTCGGCTTCACAGACGTCTACTCGATCGACGAACCCGACCTCCTCGCCTTCGTCCCCCGTCCCTCACACGCTCTTCTCCTCGTTTTCCCCGTCTCTCCAACCTACGAAGCCTCCCGCCTCTCCGAGGACGGGCCCTTACCCGAATACACCGGCTCCGGCCCCGCAGAGCCAGTAATGTGGTTCAAGCAGACGATCCGCAACGCCTGCGGGCTCATCGGACTGCTGCACGCCGTGGCGAACGGCGGACCGCGCAAACATGTCCTCCCGGGCTCCGATCTGGAGACTCTCCTGCGCGAAGCGGAGCCGTTGGGTCCCATCGCCAGGGCGGATTTGCTGTATGAGAGTAAGGCGTTGGAGAGTGCGCATGCGGATGCGGCTCGGTTGGGGGATACGGCTGCGCCGCAGGCGGAGGATAACGTCGACTTGCATTTTGTGGCGTTTGTGAAGGGGTCTGATGGGCGGCTGTGGGAGCTTGATGGGAGGAGGAAAGGGCCGTTGGAGAGGGGACGGTTGGCGGATGATGAGGATGCGTTGAGTGAGAAGGCGCTGGAGTTGGGGGTGAGGAGGTTTCTGAAGACGGAGGCTGCGGGGGGTAATCCGGATTTGAGATTCAGTCTGGTCAGTCTGGGGCCTTCGTTCGATTGATGCTGTTGGCCAGGTTTTAATGGTGGTTGAAGTGGTTTATCATTGTGTGGTATGCTACGAATGTGTACAATTTAGACAGAAGGCTATCATGCCTCACGTACAGGCGTCTCGGGCGTTGGAACTGTCTTACCAATTGATCAGATTCAGTGCATCAATGGACGATCCGAAGCTGCTGTTTTGTATGCGAGATGGACCTTGAGACCATGCCAAGTTAGTATTTAGAGGTAGCTACACAAAACATTTACAAGCGCATTGAATGCCTTTTTACTTAGAGGTACATAAAAGCCTTAGGCTTCAACCCACCAGTCTTCTGAATTGAACTTCAAAGCTTCATTACCACAGGCCCACCAACCGGCAGTCAAATTACGCGCAAAGACTTCCAACGCAGAGTACGCCATACAAGTATCGCCCGTCGTCGGGCCAGACCCTGACCTGGTGAAGAATACCTGCTCAAAAGCCTCCTTGAGATTTGGCTTTCGAGAATGCACATCCGGGACGCCCGCGATGACCCTCCGGGTAATAGCATCGGTCGCATCAGACAGCCGATCCATTCTCCTCCCAATAACAAGAATCTCATACGGCTTCCGCCATAGCCCGTCCAGCGGCGTGATGGGCTCGCCCTTCGTCGTCGTCTTGATCCACACCCATTCTTCGTACACGGATAACCCTGCTCCCTTAATGGCGTCGTATGCAGCCCTGCGTGCCTTTGGTGCGTTGGTTACCCAGATTGCTGCGATGGATACACACTCCGGCGCTTGCGTGTGGTCCCCTAGCCCTACCGGGTCGTGCGACAGATGGATCTTCAGAATATCCTCTATGCGCTTCGACAGTGAGCCTATGTCAGAATAGGACTGTGTCTGGTAATGCCCGCTGCGACGAACGGAGCGGTTCGACCAGGGCGGGTCGAGGAGGATCAAGTTGAATTTGCGGTCCTGAGATAGACCCGGAATCGGGTCCTGACTCGCCTCGTCCTCCGCTGATAGCGGCAGCGAGCAAAGCAAGAAAGTAGACAATGGCGGCACGAAGAAGACATGCCGATGCGCCGTCATTACCTCACAGTGCTCGGCCTCCAGCTTGCAGCCGACACCCAGCAAAGCTTGCGTCGAAGACGTATTCCTAACCACAACGTTGCAAAGTTCCGGCATGGATCCGAACATATTCAATCCCGGAGACAGGATAACCGGCGGGCTAGTAGGAGCAGATACACCCAGCGCACTATCCGCTGAGCACCCGTCCTCACACGAGACCGTACCGCTCCAAGGCCCGTCTCGTCTCCTCTTCAGCTGCGTCTCTTCCTCTCGAATCTCTCTCACGCGACACCAGTCTGCAGACTCCGAGTAGCCGCCGCTAATCTCCTGCAATGCCCCCCGAACCAGAGGCTCAATGATCTCGGTCTGGAAGACCCGTTCAGAGACCGGAATCCTGTCGAGAAGTCTAGCCCTCGCAGCATCCGTTTTTGGCTCCGTGGATACCGCGTACGGCTTCTCTAGGGAGTTGGAAGATAAGAGAAGACGTTTTTTGTGATTATCTATCCCGGCAGTGGATGTGGTATGTTTCTTCCCGGCAGGGTAAGAAATGCACGGTGTGGCTCCCAACTGCACCGGCGAAAGTTCCTGTGCGGACGCAATAGACGTCGGGATATCAATCAAGAAAACAGTTTTTTCTGCATTTTGGTAGAGAATGGAGTTTTGTGGCATCATGCCATGGTGGTATTAGCTGGTTGTGGTTCCCAAGTTGGGTGGTCAAGGTGTTTGTTGGAAGGGGAATTCGGCGACTACTTCCGGAAGTTCATCGTTTTCAGCGCTCGAAAGCATCATCATCAGCAGCACCACCAAATTGGCGGCTGTCAGCATCAATTGGGAGCCAATATGGAGATTGAACTGCATACAACGATGGAAATCAAGACTTTTTTTTTTTTTTTTTTTTGACATTTCAAAGTGCCTTGATTGCGGCATAACACGGTACATCTTCCTTGCTGTACAGGTGTTACAATCCTATACATGAGAGATCGCTCATGACTGCGCGTCACAATTCAAAAAAAAACTAATAAAAACCATATATAGGCTCTCTGCCTCCGAGTGAGGCCTCAGAGCTCTCAAGGCAAGCAGCGGCAGCAGCCACCGCCGATGAAACTATCATGACCGAACCATATGCTCGGGTGACTGTCGTGATTTCAAACCTCATTGACCCGAGTATGAGACCAGTTTTTCTCAAGCAGATACGAACTGCGATACTTTTCCACACTTCATTCCTCTTTCTCCCCCTCCCCGAGACGTGCCAGCGTCAGTCTAGGTATGTAGGGTCGTTTCGCTACAGAAAACCAGGCTTTCCTTTTTGATTTATGCTGAAAACAAACAGGAAGGAACAAATTTGTACAAGGCGTAGACTTTCATCACAAAGTTGGTTCAGAACGTCGAACATGCAAAATCAACGCTGAGCAACTCAGTTAGGTCAGTTGCAACATGTCAAACATTATGAGATGGACTTACACGTCCGCGACGTCCCCCAGCCGACTGTCCAGGGGCTTGAGGTGTTTGGGAATAGAATTGAGGAGGATACTGATACATCTGGGGCGTGCCCATGACGGGGCTGAACTGCTGAGGAGCAAAAGCCTGCTGGTTCAGCAATTGAGCGGGTGTTCCAGGCATAGGAGCAGACTGTCGAAGGCCGTCCACAGACGGTGTTCCGGCTGGGTAGCCAAAGCTGGGGTTACCCAGAGTAGGATAAAGACCAGCTGGCGAGACGCCCCGGGATTGGGCGGCTAGGTAAGCTTGATACTGCAGCTGTTGCTGAGTGAGGGGCATCAGGGGATCCTGGACAAATCCAGCGCCATTCATTCCAGCAAGTCCATTGAGAGAGTTGACTGCACCCGTGGAGCTCATGCTGTTGATACCATTGATCGAGTAAGGGTCGAATGGCGTGGCGCTTGGTGGCTGCTCAGAAACGGACCTTGCGTTATCCATATTTTGAGCGAGAAGACCGGGCGCGAACTGTCCATTATACTGCCTATCCATGGTTGACTGTGCTTGTCGAGAAATTGGACGATGCTGCTTGTTTTCAGAATGACCTGAATGCTCTCGCCCGTGATGATTGTCCCGAGCACCTCCACGAGAAGATAGTCCAACCTCATCCATCAGGCGCTTGTAGCCTTGGTTGGGAGTTGCCTTCAATTTTGTGAGCACCTTTGCCACATTCTTCACGACCTCCGCGCGCATTGACTCGTCGAAGAAAGGTGTGGTCAAGACTTTGAAGATCAGTGTGGCCCCAGAAGTCTGGTCACCCAAGATCTTCTCCAAGACCTCGTCCCCGGGGCTGAAGAACAAAGCCCTTAATACGATGTCGCGAGCCTCGGGTTCGTTGCGCTGATTTATCACTTTGAGCACAGTTAGATAAGCGACCTTGTGAGTGCACAAATGGACCAGATGAGGAACAAGCCGTGGGGCAAGTACGGTACGGCGACGAGGGAATGTGCAGGTGTCCAGGAACCAAGTGAGCAGCAAGGCGCCGTTTGCGTTTGTCGCGAGCTGTACGCTGTGAAGGGCAATGGCAGCCGCAAGCATCCGTTGCTGTTCTTTTGAGGCGTGGTGGCTTTCGAGACAGGCTCGCATGGCTCGAGCGCCGAAGCGTCCCTGAGCAATTTCCCACATACGGCTTAGCATGGTTTCGAAAATGAAGTCATTGAACGGAGCGCCGAAACGTAGGCAGCATTGTAAAACGTAATTACCGTATTGGTCAAGGAAGAGCGGCACAGTGTAGGGGCGAAGAGCATCAACAATCATTTTCATCTGCGTGGGGGTCTTGGCGACATCAATGATCTTCTGAGCAGCCCAGGTACCATTCTTGTGAACACCAATCTCAGCAAAATGGGGCGCAATGGGACCGAGCATCTGTTCTTTAGTCTGCTCTGAGCAGTACTCGAAGAGTTTCTGGACGACAGTATTGCCGAGATAATCGGAGGACAGTTCCGCGATCTCTGGGAGCATTGCGACTGCAGTTTCCTCAATCTCCTGAATTGAACAAGCGCCGTTGTCGATCCTCTTGCGGATGTCTCGAAGACGTGGAGCATCAAACATCCTGGTTTGGCTGGGTTCAGGAATAGGAGGGATCTCGTCTTCAAAAGCTTGATATGCGATGGCTCGCTGAATACCGGAAGTGATATTGAGTGTATCGTCATCGGTAGCGCCAAATTCCTTGACTATCTGTATCATTTCCGGTTGAAGGTCGGGTAGGGAAGGAATTTGGGGCACAGACGTGCCCACAGCATCAGACTTGTCCAGGCCATCGGAAACACCCGACTTGAAGTTCGGGTCAGGAGTGGGTGAAGACTGCACACCGTTGGCTCCAGGGGTGCCAGATGCAGAGCTGCCAGGAACTTTGGCATAGCCGATCCGAACAGGGCCTGCCCCTGGGAAGATCTCCTTGCCGTTAAGCAACGATTTGGCTTGCACGGCACTTTCCAGGCGTTCGAAATTGACAAAGCCGCAGTTCTTGTGCGTCAAAACACGAGTGGACTCAATCTTACCATACATGCCAAAGATCGCCTCCAGCGAGGTGACAGTTGTGGAGACTGGAATACTGCCAATCCACAGGGCTCGCGTGGGCCCATCTTGATTGCTTTCGTCCGCAGTCTCTCCGCTCGCGCGAAGACCCAAGCTTTGGCCAGCGTTTCCTCCAAGGTTCATCATCTGTACGGCTTCGGATAGCTCATCGTATTCACCGGTTTCGGCGATATGAAGATCGGCGGCACTGAAGCTGTTCTCGAGGCGAGACGGTGTGGCAAGATAGTTGCGAATTGAGGATCTCTGGGGAGGAGCTTCTAACACACCGGCCGTTCTTGCTCGTGGCCGATTGACCGACGCATGGTTGGCGAATGCTTGCACAGCGAGATTATGTTGATGAATCTGGGCCTGAGTTGCAGCCAGTTGAGCAGCTGTCGCTGCGGCAGAAGGGGTGACGGTGCCAGAGGGGATTTGAAAATAGCGAGTGGCATACTCAAGATCCTCATCGTCCGCGTATTTCTCCTTGGCATTGACAGAATAAGACCGGAACCGGTTGTTATTCTTCATCATAGCCAATTCAGCAAGCAGTGGCGGCAACGCGGATGCCTGTTGCTGTTGTTCTTGTTGCTGCAAGAGAACATCGACAGAGGGTCTCACAAGATTGGCTCGTGCTTGTTGGGGGGTCTCCGCGAGACCCAAGTAGTCCAAAGTCTTTACATCGGTATCCGCAAGACCGTCTCTCGAAAATGAGGATTGGCTGGGGGATGCGGGACCTTCCGAAGACCGGATACTCGTCAGAGTTGTCGCTCGATCACGCGCGCTCGACCAGTGTGTGGAGAACAAAGAAGGCCCGAAAGGACTGGATGATGCAAGGTAATTTGTCCTCTGTGGCATTGAGCCAGCTCGAAGACGCGAGAGGGTGCCCGTGTTGCTTGCACCGGCAGTAGTTGGGGCCCTTGCGCCTGCGTCAATGCCAGACACGCCGGGAGGACGGAAGGGGCTTGTGGATGGTGTAGGCCGAGAGGTTTGAGATATGAAGGTCTGTTGAAGGTTCGCCTCATTCAGAACGCCAACAGGCGAAAAACGCGAAGGAACTGTGCCAGCTCTGGCACGTCTGGCGGGGCCATTCATCGATCCGGTAGTCGTAGGTATCAAATCCGGAAACCCTTCCTGGCTGGGAGACTCGGGAATATTTTCGCGCAACGGGGTCGAGTGGCCACTGGTAGGGGGACCCCAAATACTCGGGGAAACGCCCTCCTCCGCTTGGATTTCTCGCGCGCTAAGCATGGAAAAGGAGAATGATCAATACAGAGAACAGGTCGCAAGCATAAGGTCCCAAAGTCTTGCAGCTTACCGTTTCGAGTATAAGCGAGCGCCAAGCTCGTGAGAAGGGGAGCCAGCCCCTAGCCTTGCGCCTCCAATTGATCCCCCTGCGCTACCAAGACTATTTGCAGGCCCAAATGCAGATTTGACAGCGGCAGATGCGGACAAGTCGCTAGGGGAACTGCGCCCCGTAGAAGTCCCAGACATCGGTTGGGACGTCGGGATATAATTGAGGTTCATGTGACCCTCCGGTCGAGATACGGGTAGCATTATATATTATATCCCTCCACCTTAAAAAGGCGAACCGCTTTTTTCCAAGATGCAAAGCCGATAATATACGTAAGCAAAAATGTACCGGAGTGGGTGAGTCTGACGAAAAGCTGTTTCTCAATTGGCGATCTGACTCGAAGGAACCATGAGGCACAACGCAAAGTTTCGAATACTCGTACAAATATTGACAAAGGCCGTCGTTGATCCTGCTGAATTAACGAGATCGACAATTGACCGGCAGAGTCCAAAGGTTAATCTAATCGAACACAACTCGTCCGGAGAACGTTGTCCGTGGCGGGGTCAGATTTGGGGTGTTTTTGTCGCAGGAGAGATGCGTAAGCTTCGCACAGTGGCCGAGGGTTCGGAGAACGAGACGATATATGCGACGAATCTCAATATGGCTCAAGCGTAACCGTCTATAATGCGTAGACGACAGCAGCGGCTAACTGACGGTGTCTTGTAAAGCCAAGCTGCCACGGTTTGCAGATATATTAGGTTGTCGGTTTTAAAATCTATCACTGCGTCGCTCTAGAGAACGCTCCGGAAGGACTGTGAAGAAACAGAATTGTCGTTCAAGCTGTGACCGGCCGAGTGAGCGAGTAAAACGAATCCGAAAGGGACGAGGTGGCTGGAAACGAGGTGCGCGGCTCCGGAGAGAGGCAACGCCAAAATAAAGAAAGGATGAAGGGTAGAGAAATGACAGGCGACAAGCGGTCACTAAATAAATCCTTAAGAGGGAAATGATTATTTGAGAAGAGAATTTAGAAATGAACTCGGGAGAGAAGGAGGAAATTAGATGGAGAGAGAGAGGGGAGAAACAAGTAGATGATACGGAGTAGAGAGGATTGATTGATGGATTTGGCCATGTAGCATAGGCTGAGGACTGAGGAAGCGAAGAAGAACTTGGTTCGAGGGACTGAAAAGGGAAGTTTGCTTGGTTTGGTTCGGTTTGGTTCCTGAGGTACCAACTCAGTTGCCGGATCCCGGAGATGTCATCTCGATATTCCCCAGTTGACACTTGACAGATATTGCTCCTTTTAGTACGATGCTACTACTATTACGACTTATTTTATAATTGTTTCTGATAGGCATATGCTGTCTTGAACCACTGTTGTAATTTTTTTCCAAAATCTTTGACTCGAAAGCAATTCATTGATCTGACTTGGGTCAAGAGAACTGAACTCGAGATCCTCGATTGTCTCTTGACCCACTATGGGTAGTGCTCTAGAAGGCTTAGGAGCTGCTGTGAAATCGCGCATCAACATCCGGCCTTCCGCTTTGTATGATTTGGTCTTGCGCTCTATTGCAATGGCTTGATTTGGGTCTCTTCTACGAAGCGCTCAATATAGCTCTACCTAAATTCAGGTAGTCTAGCTGGTCACATCGTATTATCAGCATTTCTTTAAGCGAAACTCGTCAGAATCCTGTTATATGTACAGAATTAATCTGTGATACTGAATGTTCACACAATGGATAACCTCCTTGCACTACTTATCGGCTCATGGCCATGGAAGACTGTCTCTCAAAGGCAGTACACGCATAAGCCGGCCAAACCTGAGGGAGCAGCAATCTGAAACGCGACTCGGACAAGTGATTTACATTTCGAAACGTCCTAGCCCCCGCATTCCAGCCATCATGTGTGATGCGTGAGCGTCTGACGCTCTGTCATCCAGTTGGTTGATGGTCACAAATAGTCAACTTTGGAAAGGATCCAGAAGGGAAGATAGACAAGGCCATAAATAGGACAGGTCCTTAGTCATTACTCCGTACTTCCTGAGAGAATAATACCCCAGCGACCAAGCAGTTTGCTAAGCTGCTGTAGGCAAAGGAGTAGGTAGTTGCATGTCCCTTGACAGCGACTCCTTACTGGATAGCCAGTGAGATTTGGTTTTCCTTAATATGTTGGAGCTCTCTGGAATTTCAACTATACAAGCTGCTTATAACGGCGCTCAACCTAGCAAATTGTGTATATGTGCAATCATTGTAAAGTCTTTTCCTGATTACATCTGCGCCTCCCTACAATCACTCATCATGAGCTACAGAGGAGAGGCTTGGGGGATGTTTGGCAATTCTCATTCGATCTCGCCGCTAGACACCTGCATATCACACATGTTCTACTGCGACAAGCAGGAAATATGAAACAATATAGCTTGGCGGATTGTATGAGAGACACAGTACTTACCACTCATTATGATATGGACCCCTAGCAAATCTAAGGGAGAAACGAAGCAGGTACGTACCTTACCTTAGTGTTGTATCACCGTTCCAGCCGACTTGATGGCATTTGTGTGTGCCTTACGGCCTGAGGCAGACGGCCGCCACCAACGCGCCGCCTTGGATGAACTTTCTGCGACCGCCTAGATAGCTCCGGGTATTGACTGATACGAGCTTCAATCCGCATCTTCTACTCTACACCTTTTATTGTGCAGGCGTTTTCGCTTCCTGATTATCATTTTTCTTAATGTCTGCAAGTCAAAGAGAGCGAATGTCATCTACGTGATACTGCACGTCGACGGAGCCAGGTCCTCACAAATCGACGATTCATCGCGCCCTTAGTCAACCCTCGGATCTACAGGATGGCAGACGATAAGGAAACACCCGCGGAAGGGGAGGTGGTGGAATCCCTCATCCAGGGACGCGCGAGACGAAGTACAGCAGGGCGCCATATGTCCGCCCTTCTGAACGCGGAGGCAGACGACGAGCTCGCGCTACTGTTCGAGGAAGTAGACGACGACAACGAATTCTCAATCAACGCAGAGGAAGAAGCAGGAGAAGAGGATGACTTGGCTTTGGACTCATCCTCCGACGATGATGAAGACCAAGGCCCGAATGCGCGCGACGATGATCTCGAAGGCGAGAAGGAGATCGAAAAGGAAGCCAAGGCCGACCGACAGAAACGCAAAGCACGCGAAGATCTACGATTGAGGCTGGCCCGGAAAAAGGTCAAGATCGATACCCCCGCCGTCTCCGCAGTACCTGCCCCTCGACCCAAGAAGAAATCAGAACGTATCTCGTGGCTTCCCACGGTCGAAGATGGACCTACGCGGTCGTCCTCGCGTCGTCAGACGATGCAGAACAAACAACTTACGCATGCGCGGCTCAAGGATAGCGAGGAGAAACGTATCCGGCTCATCGCGACTATGGAAGAAGCAGCTAAGAGGAAGGCGCATCTGAAACCAAGGCAGATGACGCAGGCGGACCGTCTAGCGGAAGCTGAAAGGGTGGAAAGGTTGAATAGCAAGAGTCTGAGCCGATGGGAAGAGATGGAGAAAAGGAAGGCTAAGGAGAGACGGGCCAAGATCGAGGCGCTGCAGAACCGTCGTCTGGAGGGGCCGGTCATATCCTACTGGAGCGGCATCGCTACATGGGTCAATGGCCGTTTGACGCGCGTGGGCAAAGTTGATATTACACCGAAACCCGAGAAGGAGGAGACTACGCGCAAGAAAAGCAAGAAGACGGAGAAGGAGGAGAAGAGTACGACCGAGAAACCTGCTGAGAGTGCTCCTGCGGTGCCTGCTACTTCGCAGGCCGATTCTCTAGAAACGTCTACGCCTAAAGAGACATCTGGTCAAGGAGATTTTGTGAAGGCTCCTCAGAAAGCAGAGGAGACAATTGCCGTTCCTCAAGATCAAGACAAAGAAAAAGCCACGACGACATCTGAGCCTACGAATACCACCTCCGCTCCCGGAAAATCTACAATTTCAGAGGGCTCTGCAGCTACAGCGGAATCTGCGAAACCCATCTCACCAGCTGAATCAACAGCAGCACCCGTTGAGGCAAATACGGAGAAGGCTCCTGATACAGAGTTGCTAAAAATAAAGACAGAGACGTCTAAGGAACCGGTCGAAGTCGAAAGTAAAACTACTGATGAGGCCCCGCGGGAAAAAGAGGCGGCAGCAGCCGGCTCAAAAACGCCGGGCGAAGCACCGAAGGATCCGACACAGGCTACAGCGCAAGTACCGGAAGAGAGACCCGCGCCGAATCCCGACCAGTCGAAGCCGGAAGTGCCGCTGTCGGGAGCCCAGCCGGATGATGCTTCTAAGACAACGGATGCTGAAGCGTCCACGAACGAGAAACCCGCGGCTGAGTCTAAAGTGACCCCTCCTGCTACTTCTCCTCGGCCAGCTACCCAAGATCCCGCTGCCGCGCCCACGCAGACAGGCCAGCAAGAGGAAGCAAAAGTGTCGGCATCAACAGAGCAGGAGCAAGTAGCGCCTGAGGTACAAGTGGATCAGCCTGCTTTCTCGAGTGACGGCGCACCACAACCCCAAGTCCCTGTTCCGCTTCCGGTGGTCGAGCAAACGGGTCGATGTCTGACAATTCTCGAAAACTTTGATGAGGAGACTGCACAGAGTCGCGAGTTTAGCATTTATTTCAATTCCAAAAAGCCTCCCAGGCTGACCAGTACGTGCACTTCCTCAGAGCCACTCCGTCTAGATTACCAAGCTGACTTATCGTCAAGAAATCTCCTCGTCACTCTGTGTTATCACGTCTCTTCCTTCACGTTATCGGGATCCTGAAACCTCTCTCCCTTTTGCTAACGCATATGCATATCGAGAAATCCGACGGAGTGTCGCCCAAAAGTCTGCCTGGAGTCCCATGCTAGGCTGTTATGTTGGCCCCGTAGGCGTTGCGGCGCGTGGTGTCCCAGAGCGGTTCCTCAATCCTAACGCCCCACGTGAAGCTCAACAGAGCGAGAAGAAAGAAGGCAAGGACGGTGAGGAAGGACCTGCATCTGCTGCTCCTGCAGGGAAGCCAGAGGGAAGCGAAATGAAGACTCCTGGAGGTGTTTCCAATCCGCCTGCGCCAGCCGCTCCTGCTACACCAACGCCTGTGGCAGCGGGTGGCGGGGATCCCATGGACATTGATAAACCATGATAAGGCTACCTATCACTTGGACAGTGCCCTCATTTGACTGGATGCGAGTTTTTACTGTATGATAGGTCGTGTAGATTAGATACCCAGATGAGTTTACTATACCTTTATTGCTTGAGGTGATTGACTTTGCTGTCCATATCTGCATACCAGGATGCATGTATTGCCCTGATGTACTCCGTACATCACTACAGATTTCGAAGCCAATCAACCAGTTAAACCCGGTAGGTCATCACCAGCGATTCAATTACACCATACCACCTTCACATGAGATGCTCCAAGATGAAAATTACCTCACCCATACACGAAGTTCGCCCAAGTCCATCCCTTGCATCACATCACATCATCATGCCATTGTATATACTCACCAGGGAAAAGAATGATGCCATTCCCTAGTCCCCGTGTAAACCTCAAGACGACCCCCGGTAGTGGCAAACCTTGATCTGTCCTGTCCTTGGCTGGTCGACGGAAGGCAACGGGACCTGAGCCCTGTCCCGTTCGGCGGCTGCGTAAGGACTAAGGAAGACTGGTTGATTGGGTAAACACATGTGAAGAGGGAGTTGAATTTTCTCCTGGCGTTGCATTTGGGGGGTGGATTGTATAATCTTAGGTCATGGATACGGATTTTCCATATTGGTACAGAGGACCTTGGTTTCTGCGTGCATGTCTGGAACGAGCAAGGTACGGAGTACCTTGAGGTGTCTGGATTAAACAAGTTGGCTCATTAATATTGCCTACCGTACCTTACTCCGGGACCTGTGTAGATCATCCCGCAGTATCAATTCATTTCATTTTCCTTTTACTGGTAGTGTTACTCGCTCTTCGCGTCTTCTACCAGCGGTAGCTGTATCCTGTGCATAATGTAGTTCCTAAGTACCTGGGTAGAAAACAGCGCAGGGAAGAGTCGCACAACGTCCACCGCACTGTCTCACAGAAGGGATATTCAGGTTATATACTCCGTACTCCGTACTCCGTAGGACATTGCATCTGCGGATTCGACTTGAAACCTGGACCGGAAAGCCAGAAGCCAATACTAATGGGGCTGCGTCCGGTGCTCGTCGCACAGCATTGCATGCTTGTAAAGCAGGACACAGGACGCCCTCGACCGTGATAGCGAGGCTGCCGGTCCTCTGCATGAGAGATTTATCTGTAGCACTAACTTGGTGAGGAGCGAAGCACTGACCTTGGGAGTATTTTGTCTTGTCTCAGTCAAGTGTATGGTTTCCCGCTATGGCATGGATGTTGATCGGTGGAGCTTGGAGCCTGGAGGTGTACCTGTGCACCATCATTCGGCATTCAGGGAATGATCTGGAGTCTATGCTGGAGTCCAGAATCAGGTCACCAGGTGAGTGAGTTGTTAGCTAGACGTGTCATAAAATCATGGCGAATTGAGTGATTGAAAATTCTGTCGACTATGGGGTAATGGATGACGAAACAAATGATGTACTCTCTGTCTGTTTCCATGATCAGTATCATGTCTCTTGTCAGTTTCTTAGATTCTTCAGGCCTCTGCTCCTCTATCTACTCCGTACATACGAGTTTGTGTTGTTATCAGAGATGTCGATCTCAGCCCATACCTAAGCCTATTCCGTTATTGATTTAGTGTGATCTGTTTGAGCAGAAACATGCCAGCACTGTCCGCAACCCGGGAATTCAATTTGATTTTAGCATTGTACAGAGGTCTATTCTACCTTAATGATCACTCTCAATCGACCAATAGCACTTGAATTCGCCCCAGACAGTCTCACATAGAGCGTCCAGTAATTCCATCAATACCACTCACAAATTTCGAGACACTTGGTGTAATACCATACAATCTAAATATGTGTTGAGTGTCCAGTTCCTGTTGGTAGCTAGGGCTGTCCCCCAGGTGCTGAGGCCGGGATCATCAGCTCAGACATCGACCACACTTCCATTGATTGATGCCATATGGCATGAATCATTGGATGTCACGACCGCCGTGGTCTGTCAGAAAAATCATGATGCGGTCCATCTTTATGCACGTACGTAACGTAATTCAATTTTTTTCTACCAGGCTACAACGTGCCCTCAATCTATGGACACAACCTCATCCGGACGGAGTTGTCTAGACTCTAGAACCCTCGACCGTTTCAGGGTGGGGAGCGCGAGTTCGCCCTTTGCAGCGGACCGTCAACAACCGTTTCGCCGATTATGGATGCCCGAATACTGCCAGAGCCCAGCATGCCAGCCAGGACTGGGCTGATCTGGCGTTGACCTGGCAGTCCCAGTGACTCCCATGCCATCAACGTGAGGGCAATGATTGGACTTGATTGTTATCTTGATCCCGATAAGCGTGGCTCTGTCGGTTAACAAAAAAATGCCAGACGATCGGAAGGGGAGAAAAAGCAATAGACGGTTTCAAGGGTCATAGCTTTATCTGGTGATCTAGATTATCTAGATGAGAACAGAATGAAGAATAATCAACCGGCTTCATCTTATCTTGACCCGTCCATTAGTGAGAGAAGATACTGCTCGGTGCCGCGGGGTATCCGGACGACTGATAGATATAAGAGCATTAAGATCTCTCGCTGAACTGAGTCTTGACAATCGACTATCTACAGATCGAACCCTCCAAAATTAGCAACTCAGAACCAAAGAACGAGACAGTGCGGATCTTGCAGCATTTGCACATCATATCCGCCCGCCAAACCTACCTCATTCTGCACCGGACGGAGACGGTTAGATCATCATCTTGTGCTGTGGTGAGGTAAGCCATATTATAGTATTATGATTTATGATATCTATTATTATTGCCTAGTTACTACCCTACTCGCTTGAAAATGTTCATAATGGACGCATGGATTGCGCGTCGCACTGGATACCTCAGGCATCAGCAACCGTTCTAGGCCTTGTCTCCATGATAATGATGGCGTGACTCACCTTGTGTCTGTCGCCAGCCAACATCAGCGTTGATCATCAGTTGTTATTATTATTGGATATCCGGGGAAATATTAGAGACGTATTGAGTGGAAAACTCATCTGGAAAGGACCAACAGGCTAACGAATTGCGTCCATCATGCTTTCTCCATGTAGCGGGACTGCTGGACACGTTCTAGAATTTCCTCAGCGCTGAGACCGGCTTCCAATTTACCCCCCCTCCTTCGTCCTCAAATACCACCTTTTTTGGGTCTACGGACGGGCTATCTACAGGGTACTCTCAATCCATCAGGATACATAATCACTGTCGTTTCATCCGTTTTGACATCCGGTCGACTTGATTTCATCACTATTCTTATATCAAAAGCACATACATCCACTTGTCCATATTTACCCTCCACCCTTGCTTTTGCCGTGGCTTGCAGTATCCCTGTCTCATTCCCGGTTATTGATCTCCGAGCGATTTTCGTTTACTCCGTCCATATCGTCAGCTGCTCGATATCCAATTATCCACCAACTATCAAGTAGATCTCGTCATTCAATTGCACGTGCTTGATCTCCCTGACCTCAAGTTCGAGGACTAAGAAGGAAACAAGAATTGCATCAAAAACATCATCAACATCATTGCTGGTATGTATGCCCTGCTTGTATCCTGTTGCCCTTTTGTGACAGCCATCTTTGTGTCCTGTACATCATGCTCCCCTTATCTCCCCCCATTCAGAAGCTTGTGATAACGGCCTGCCTCCCTGCCGTGCAGCTGAACTGTGACCTATCTAACCATTTATGTGTCACTGCAGTCACGCCTTGCAATCCCAAGAAAAAGCTTATCGACTGGTGTTGTCTCAACCGGCCCGGGAATTTCGTGGATCGTCACGCTACACATAGCACAAGCTGTCCCCCTACCAGGGCGGAGGCCTGTATTTCCCTCAGCATTCCTCTGACAGACATCATCTGCCTGAAAACAGGAACCAAAAAAAAAAAGGCGCAAAGGAAGGAGAAGGGATCACGAAATTTTCGCAAAGCTGCAGCAATAAACACAACCGGGTACGACAGTCTGAGACAATTGATCGATCCAATAGCGTATCCTCGCCGCAAATCCCTCATACCTGGTCCCTCCCTTAGGAGATAAGCTCGTGCTCCACACCTGCTCCAGGCCTCCAGACCATTGGCAAAAGGCGTCCAGTCGGCGCAAGGTACCATTGGCAGACTATCTCTATCTAAATTGAATTGGAACGAGTATATACATCCTCACCGCCATCCATGACTCAAGCGAACCCCCATCTTCATCATCGACGCACTCCCTCCTCTAATGGCTCGAAAGTGAGAACCTCGCGACCGGCGCTGCATCGGAAAGGCACATATTCTGTGAATCATCCCATCTCGAAGCTAGGCTCTGGGCAGGTCAGGCGTCCGGAGCCCGAGAGTCAGCCCGACATGGCGGCCAGTTTTTTGAATTTCTGGTATGTTGTTAACCGTTCGTTATCTTCTTTTGAGATAGAGAGAGATGAGAAAACCAGTCTGTGCTTGGATCTCTCCCAATTGGCCCATTCCGGCCTTATCATTGTTGTCTATCCTTGCATACCTTGAACGTCAGAGCTAATCCCCTTGGTAGTGCCATGTGCGAGAGACAGATCACGGTGCCGGATAATTCTCTTCTCTATTGCAGTGAAAGGTATGCATACTCCTTATCTCTTATCTCTATCGTTTGTCTTAGCACGCATTGTGGGCCTTTATAAACCCTCCCTCTCCTCTGCTTGATGACCACCTGCTCACAATACTTATCTGCAGCTGTCGTCGCAAAGACTCGCACAAACCACTCTCCGCGTCCTTCCCATCGAGTGGCTCGATATCCTACTCGAGGTCTCCGCCCACCTCTCCTCTCGTCTTTTCTCGAATGATCGTTGCCCCTATGATTCCCACCAAAGTCCCCGTCAAATCCTCCCCGGCCATCCGGATACCCACAGACTTCCATGACTCCAAGGTAGATCAGGACCCCTCCGAATGGAAGCCGGTAATACCCGCGGCTCATGGCAGTACGGGGTCGCTGGCGTCCTCGGAGGCCTGGCATTATCTTGCTCAATTCCACGGCGGCGAACCATCGTTCCCGAGGCGTCGCCACGGTGCCGGTCATCGCAGCTCGGCCAGTTTGTCCACGCTCATGAGCGCAACGGCGCCTGTTCCGTCTTTGACCCATACTCCATCCACCACTGCATCGTCTTTCAGCAGCACGGCGTCAGACTACATCAGTTACATGCACGACTCGTCCCATCGTCCGTTGCCTCCTCGCCACAATCCCTACTTTTCCAGTATCTCCGGCGTCACCAAGGGCGTGGAACTCGTGGTGCCTCATGTGGAGACCCCATCTGTGCATGCCAACGCTGTGGATATGTCCGACAGTGGCTCAATCTTCCCTGCCAGCAGCTCCCTCTGGAATGAGAGTTTGGCAGGAAAAACTCCTACCGAAACTGTGACCAAGACTCCGAGCGCTCTTGATTTGCCCATCATGTTGAAGCAGGAGTCTTTGTGAGTGGGTCTCTGCGCACTCTATTGCATAGATTCACACCCACAACATCTATTGTGGCCGAAGTTGCTGCTGTCCAAGGGGCCGCATTTCCTTAAATTTTTGTCGTGGTGCTTCTACTGTTGCCTACGAGCAATTGAGAGGCAATAAAACATAGATCCAAAAAGATGAGAGCGATACGATGTGATGGATAACGGACATGGCGACTTGATCTTTTGGTCACTTCGTTCTTTAATTGATCGGCGAAAAGTCGAATATATTTTAACACCAGGGCGTTTAAAGCATGGGCATGGACAGGTTAGATAGAATAAGCAATCAAGCTCCTTGAACGAATCCAGATGTCCCTGCGGACGGGAACAATATTGTGCATAATTGAAGCTACGGTGTACCTCGAGCCTGGAATGGAGGCAATGACATCTTGCGGTACAGGTGTAAACAGTGTTGTCATCTTCAACCGCAAAAACAACATAAACAGAAGCTACCTTAAAGACCATCACAAGTTCCAACTAGATATAGCTAACAACCTAGATCACAAGAAGAATCTCGGGCAACTGGAGCAACCGGTTTGATCCACCCAATACTGGCAGGCAGAGAACTAAATATGGTACGTATATTGTGGATCTTGGTCGCCTAAGGCTGATATCAGACGCCCAGTGTCTATCGTAATGTCTACAGACCGAGCCCCTGACACTTGACTAAAAAGCCCGAGGGTCAGTCACAAACTCACAATGCTACACAAAGAAACATAAGTGAGCTACGTACTTGGTTTGGATATGACCCGCTCGATACCCGTCATACTCCACAACGCTGTAGTATACGGATCCCTGAAGCTCCCATACCCCGGTATTGGAGGCAGTGATGAACCAGCAAGGGGAGAGGAGAGGTGGGCTCTCGGTATTCTGCTTACAAACGCGATCTTCTATAGATAGAGCGGAGTGTAGAGGGTAAGCCTAATCGAACGGTATTTCATAACCTCGTGTACCAACGAATTAAGTCAAATCCAAAGCAGCGTCATAGTCGAGACCGACGCGAAAGAAGAAGTATCTATGTCCAGGAAAAAGAAGAAAAGACGCAATATCAACAATCCGAAGGATGATGGTGATGATGATGATCACTCAGCATCACCCGTGAATCCGTCGTTCTCTTTGGGTTCAATCTCGTCTGTGATGCAGCACGTCCCGTCCTCATACTAGATACCACATCGTTAGAACGTCAACATCGACAGGTTGAAAGGAAGAGGGGGATGAAGATGCACTCACCCATCGTCCGGGACACGCTATGGCGCCGTAGAAGTAGCCCTTGAAACAGAGCGAGTTGCCTGCGTCGTGACCGCTGGGTGGAGCGATGAGTTCTGGGTTTGGGACTGGGACTGGGACTGGGACTGGGGCGGGAGCGGGAGCTGCGATGATGTGCGAGGCGAAGAGAGCGGCCGCGAGGCAGATTGTGGAAAGGTGGAATTGCATCGTGGGGACTGGTGAGTTATGTTTTGAGGGTTTGGGTGAGCTGCTTTGAATGGGGATTCAGTATCCACGAGGAGGACGTTGTTTCGGCGAGGCAGGCTGATGTGTGTGCGCTGCAACTACTCCGTACTTATACCAGTATGCACTCAGAGAATGCAAGGGATTTGTTGAGATGAGGATTGCTGAGCGTCTTGAGACAGTTGTTCTGGTTGATCGCTGGGGGCTATCATTGGCCGTGGTCTCCTATGACGAGGGTTAGGAATGCTTGGATGTCTTTTGTTTTGCATTGTCGATGATCATCTAGATGGAATCTGCCATGGATGTTCGTGAAGGGGAAGTACGGAGTTGTTTTCGACTGGAATGTGACGTTGCCAGGGGATCAAGGGAGAACTCAGGCTCATTCAAATGAAGGGCGATTCCCTTCAGTACGATCGAAGGAGAGATATTACTGTAGAGACAAGCAATTCGAAGCATCAAGTATTCTCAGTGATTTCATTATTGACTGAAAACCATTAGAGGAAGCATACGCTGATCTCCAGCCGTGTGCCGTACTCTGGTTTTTTGTCCATATAAATCCATATGCTCATATTAACCAGGTAAACAATCTGATACTGCGACAGACCCTGCTGCATACCTTCAAAAGCTTATCCGACGCGCAGCACCCTTCGGGTTATCCCTCAAAATTGGTAAACTGTGTTGAAGGTCCGGGACCTGGGATAGTTTCTTCTGAATAAAATCCCACATCTTTTCGCAACTTACATCACGCAGCAGATGACGCTACCATGAATCGCGATTGGAAACGGAGCGCCACTTTATGTATCCAGGTTCGAATGTTATTGAGCAGCCAAACCATGGTTGATCCTGATCACTCAACAATCCAAGTGACAGACTCCAACGCCGTTGAGACCTGCTCAGTAACGTCATGGTGCTTAGATAGTCGAAACGTCGGATAGACACGACAACCTCTTGGTCGTCAACCAGTGTCCATAATGATTCACGATAGTGTCCATGAAGAATTGGAGCTTCCGGAAAGGCATCCGAACAAGCAATTGGATCAAAGGTCCTCACGGCTTCCTTGAATCTGTGAAATAATTCCGAGGAACCGGCCCGTAGCTCTGCCCTTAGACCTGTCCAGTTGCCGAAAGTCAGAGCAAACCCTCATGAGGGTGCTTGGACTGGTGATCTCACACCCTTCTAAGGGGGCTATCCTTGGCTTCTTGATCAATCAAAGACATGCACGAGAAGCTCACTCTTATGGGCCAAAGGACGGGCTCTGAGCCTTCAGTAATGCGTCTGATGTTCGATACGTAATGCTCGTACTCAGCGGATCAGTTTTATCCAGAAGAGAGAGAGAAAAAAAAAAAAAAAAAAAGAAAAGAAAGGCCACGCAGCAGCACATACTCACTCGTAGGCAGTCGTAGATCTACGAGATAAGTACGTCAAGAACCAGGCGGCCTAGAACACCCAAGCAATTGTTTCGTCAAGCAGTACCGTTGGTCTGTATCGAGCAAAATATCGAGTGCAGCACCATTGCCTTGCCCAAGTCTCTGCGCAAGAGTTAACTCGCTTACAGCAATGGCTTCGCACAAGCCACACTTCCAATCGGCGATGAACTTGGCTGCAAATTCCCACGACAGCATCATTCCTGCTCCGTGGAACAGAGGTTCTGGCCAAAAAAGTGTGCATCACAATTCACAAAGACAGCCTGTTGATTGAATTTTATCCCGTTCTGGAAAGGCGACAAGTGGAGCCGCATCATGTCTTCAGGACATATTTTTCCATCGCCTCCGGCTGACGCCAATTGGCGCCAGAACATGAACTCCTGGGCGGACTTTTCTCCCCTTTCTTCCTCTTCCCCTTTGAGAAGGCTTTGCTGATACCATCGGAAACCACGAGAGCTGGTCCGCATATAATTCTCAAATGGAAAATATTGATGCCCCGCTTCATTCTGTCGCCAATGAGCTTGATTGATCATAGAGAACGACAGAGCTGCCCTAAATCACCATTCCTAAGGCGTCTTGCCTCTGCCCGGGAAAAATCAGAAGAGAGGAAATCGACCGCATTGAACAATAATGAGACGAAGACTGATCTGACGCCAAGGTGGATTCTATAACTCCTCTTCAAAGTGTCTATCTGTCGACGAGTCCACTGCAGCTGCGAATATGTTCAAGTAGCCACAAATCTCGGGAGGTCATTCCAACCTTGAGTTGTATGATATCAGTGTCATCTCATGATACGTCTTTTTCACAAGATATGCAGAGTCAACCTCAAGCCAACGAAGGCGCGCTTTGACCTTTCAAGACAACGTTCATTCCGCAACCTAGCGACCGATCTTCCTCCTTGACCGTCAAGCTTACTATTGATGTCGTGACACCCAGTTGCAGGAAGCGGAAGGCAGAAAAAATCACACAAAGCCGTCGAGACTTGGCTTTTTCGTAGCAGCACCATCTGGGTTACGCGTTCTCCTCATGGCCTTTCAACACGCATTTGGCTGTCAAATTTCGAAGCTTGACTTCGTGAATTTCGTTGCATTCAATCATGCATTGTGGATGAACAATATCAGTGATGCATCCGGTACGCCCTGAGGTGACTACACCGCTGGCATGCAGTTGGGCCTCTGAGACATGAAAGATATCTCGTTGATGAACGGCCTATTTCTTGGTTCACATTTCATCTTATCCCTGCAGGTTAATCTTTGGTACATTTGAATGACCGTATAGCGTCTCAAACTCGACCCTCGTATCGATGGACCCGGACCGAAAGATGTGGCACGCTACTCATGGTAGATGCACCCAAGCCTATCGGACTGAATTGAAGAGAAATAGCGCCAACTGCAGGGATGGGAAACGACATGGCTGTATGCTTGAGCCTGTCTCCAATGGCAGTCCGAATTACCCGATGACGGCCATTTTGTGTATCTTCACGAAGTCCAATGCCCTCCTGAGGCAACATCCACCGAACATGTCCGGTTGTTTAATTGACCTGATATGTCGTTCGATGCACATGTCTTCCCCTGGTTCATGGCTCACGACAGTCATCCGAATATTACCTCACGAAGAATCCCTTCTAATCAATGCGCGCAACAGAGCCGCCGACTGAGGCGCGGCCCACGTTGATATGGCGACCATTTAGGTAAGCTTTCGCTCTGTGAAAAGGAAAGAGGGCAAGGAACGTATTTAGACTGCTACCGCGGCCTTCCCCTTCTCTGTGGCAACCATGCATTGGTATAGACAATCCAGAGATACGCAGTGTTGTGGTCTGAGCTAGCAGAATTTCACCGCGGCAAGGTATATTGCGCCCTTTCAGCTTGATAGGAGGTTGAGCACTGATATTGAGCGGTATCTTTGTGGACTCCAAGAACATAGCAATAGACTTTATCGGGATGTGAGCATGCGCGACGAGGCGATCGGACGGAGATATTGACGCGGCTTCGGGTAAACAGCGCCATTTCCGGCAGTTGTTTTCGGAGGATGTTGCTGGGTATGAGCCGAACAACCTCGCGAGACTGTAGGTGGCAGCGTTCGCACAACAGGGCGTCCCTCTCAGTCGTCTCCTTTCTTAGCGGCAATCGGCTGTGGTGACTCGGTCGATTAGGCTCTCCCAACCTATGTCCTGAGGCAGGAGATGTTGATTGCGCCCAGCTGAAGAATGAAATCATATCTCTGAAATACAAGAAGACGACGCAGATCATGGAGAAGAGCAAGAACAATCCTGTTTGTGACCTGCTGCATTGCTGGCTGGCCTAGAGTGATGGGTAGCGGAGACTGACCGAACCATAAGATTGGCCGGCAGAAATTTCCGAGGCCCCCGTATGGCACCGACTAGTCGAAGATGGAAGTAGATTCTCGCAGCGAGGTGTTTCTCGTGACAGGATCCAGTGAATGCTACAGATCGCATCTAGATCTGTCCGAGATTTCACTTCACGACTTCGCCTGGCATGATCGGTGAGAGATAGGACTGTGGAAAGGCGGACTCGCACAGAGCAAAGTGCTCCTGTTCCTTTCTCGAGTCTGTCGACCCTGGAGGAAGAAAGGACCCATGTCCAACATTCCATATGATACTCCATATGATACAATGGTGCAATAGCGTACTTTTGGCTCACAGTGCCGCCCCGGCCTCCAAAAGCTCTGGTAATGTTCCAGAACCCCCCGAGGGATAGCCCTCACCGCAGACACTGGCGAAGATATGCCCTTTTGCCTTCTCTGTTATTAAGCCCACGCGGCGCCATTGACGCCTTATCGGTTTCTCCATTCTGTCAGACTAAGGTGGAGAGAGCGAGGCATTAGTCTTGACCCTTGATCTACTGCCCAGGATTCGAGTGCGTGAGTGAACGCCAATCATTCAGCCTTGCCCTCTCACACACTGACTTCGTGGTCCACGAGAGAAGAGGGGATTGATCGGCATCTCATAAATATTGACACTTTGACAACTTGACAACATCTAGTCCCTGGGAATCCTTTTCAGCCCTGAGCGTTGTCACAAAGCTTTTCACCTCATTTCTCTCTTTAGACCTCTTCACATTTAGGAACTCTACCAAACGCTGTGCCACTCACCACAAAACCAGAGTGTCGTAAATGACAAAGAAAGAGTTTTGATAAGACGAAGTTCCAACAGAATGGAGTATCAAAACAAGGGATCACGGCAGAATGAAGAGCAAAGGTGTGAGGCTCAGCTTTTCAATCATCCAATATCCGTTCCTCATTCAAAACTGTCATACCTACTTGGGCCACGCTTTGTGTGTTGCTAAAAGTTGAATGATGTTAGGCAAGATTCCAGCGCTCATTGTGGCCAGCATCTTGAGCTCGAAGCCGCCAACGCACAACCTCAGTCCCATGACGGACGCATCGAGGACACGGAATATTATTCAAACTTCCTTGAGCAGCTTCTGAAGCTGGTTCGTCATGGCGACCAGGCAGCCGTTTCTCGCTTGATATCTGTCATACGTTCTGGTGCCTCACAGGAAGAAATCTTCAAAACATTATCCGAATTTTCGAACAACAGCC